TTGGTGCCATGGCCCTGTGAGCAGTGATTCCTTTTGCCGTACAAGCTACAGACTGAAAACTAGCAGAGATCCACGCAATTATAACAACAAGACCATTCCTTGTTGCAGAGTTCGGTCAGGAACATTTCATAACAATGAGTTGCTCTTGGCAGTTTAGGCTTCAGAGAGATGCAGGTTGATATRAGCCAGACATTCTATTTTTGTATTCTGTGTTGCACAACTAGCCATATGACTGCACTGTGGAGAAGCATGCATTTCGAGCAATGCACCCTATTTACAGGCTACCTACCCTACTAGCTGTTTTTGTTAATAAGCACCCCTAATCTTTATAGATTCTTTTTTTACTTCCTAATAGAATCAGAATGACCAATGTTTGGGTCAACATTGGCTCCATAAACAATGTACAATCTAATGATCAATTTGCAAATAATCAATCTCTCATGGATGAATTTATGCATACCTTCAACTGAATAAGCCAATGCACTGAATCAGTCAAATGTTACTTAACCAACCAACCAATAGGTCTGATACCCTAAGATTGATGAAATACATCAAGACCAAGCTAAGACATTTATTTTTAGAATAGCACAGCATCACATTAATACATCAAACCAGCTAATGTACCACCACAATCATGAGCATGATTGTTAAAATGAATCAGCAAACAACTCATGAAACATAATCAGTCAAATGTTAAAATTAGTGATTTTTAGAATAGCACAGGATGTCTGTCTTGTTCACAAACGTAAAATATACCTACTCTGTACAAAACGAATCACAGTCGGGTTATGAATTACAGATAGAAAGGATTTTCTTAGTCCAGCATAAGACCACCCAAGGGTTGATGAGAATGACTTGTGGAATTGCTGAAATCTCAAAAAGAAAACCATCATCCACATGTCAAAACATTTTGAGTAGATGATTCCTTTAGGCTATATTTGGTTTGAAGGAAAATGTAGGGAAAGGTAGGGAAACCTTTACAAACCTTGTATTGGTTTCCCTGTCTTTCCCTTCCTTTCCCTACCTTTTCCTTCAAACCAAACATTATGTCATCTTCTTGGGATTGCTAGCTGCATCAGAACATTTGATGATAGTTTTCCTAYGAGAAAAGTTGAAATAAAGAAAGAATCAAATTATGTTGGGGAGAGAGGGAGARAGGGAGAGAGAGAATCAATTACATCAACTCCCCATTATCTTCTTTTAAGCCATAGTTCAGATACAACACCGTGGCCATGCTAAGTTCAACTTTAGCACCACCACCAACATTACATCTACCCTTTACAAAGAAAAAAGGACCAAATGGAAAAACAAAATTAGAACTCTTTTACACCTAGCACTTTGTTAGTGCCAGTCTTCATACTCCTCTATCACTCATCCTATGTACATATTACACTGAAGCAAAAAGAGAGCCAACATGCTCCTCAATCAGCAACATTTTCCAACTGAAAGTGGTTCCAAGCAGGCACCTCACAATTGCTATCCTCTTGATGGGAAAAAAGCAGGAAAATGCAGAAGAGAAAATAACAATATAGAAGAAAAAAAGACCAATGGTAGCAAAACTTCTTTTGGTTTAGTTCAATTATTCGCCTCAGCTGCAGTGGAAACAAGATGTTGATGCTGCTGATGGTGGATGGAACATTAGTTGTCATACAATTGGAATTGGTATGTCATCGCTACTGCTATGATGCATTCGCTTCTGGACAGCCTTTACAGCAGCAACTCTTGCTGCATTGGCTGCCTTATTAGCTGCCACTACAGCCCTGTTCACCCTCTCATCAACTCTGGGAACATCATATGCCTTCTCTGCTGCTCGTCTAGCTTCCTGAAAATAAAAGAATCTAATAAGAACATTCCACCTAATACCTTCAATGGTTKTATCAAGTGTTAAAAACTATGTGATACCCCTTATTCCCAGCACCTGCTCTTTCATGGTCCAGCTTTTATATTTTCCAGATCTTGTTGGAAACAATGATCAAACAATAGATATGCCCTCTGAACTTTACTATGAGAGCAACTGTGAAAAAAAGCAATACTCGAGGGATGGATCCTAATCCATTTGACCAATTGTTTGCTCTGCAATGGYCATTAATCAGGACTACAAGATCATTCAATATTATGGTGGTAAATGTGAATTGCATGGTAGGTCAAAGTGATCTCCATACAGTTTCAGGCCACTGTTGTAACAAAGGTGGGTAGTACTTCCAGGTTGATTAGCATAGATGATTAAAAATATGGAGGCATGAGATAGGCACCAGAGCTTTTAGATGTGAGAGTCTAAGTCCTTGAGAAAAACATCAAACTAATACAAGGAATAGTGTAAAAATATGTATAGAAAGGTTTTTTTTATTATTAAATAAGAGAAGCTTATAGCTGGATAAATGATCATATACACAAAGGAGCTGGGAATATTAATGAGCTTTAAAAAAAGCAATAGCATTCTTACAAATCATCCAGGGGGTCTTCTGTACTGTAGTCTTGAATAGGTATGGTTTGTTTCAAACCACTAGGCCCCACTGTGGTCTTTGAAACTACAGGTTTTGGAACTCACCACACTCCACACCTTTGGTAGTCCTCTGCGTGTTGTGTTGTATGTTCCAGAAAATCGGGATTTGAAATGTGTTGGTTTTTAGGTGATATGTACTGAAGCAATGACAAATAAAGGCAGAACAGTATGGTGCAGTTGGGAACACGAGAAATAAGTGTGTTCAGAAACTTGCAATACTTTGATTTCTATGACCATGAATTGCTGGTACCAGAATGAAAGTGGCTTAAAAAAAGGCCCATACACTTTGGTGTGTTCTCGAACTGGATGAAACACAAAAATAACACTACCAAAAAAACCTTAATAACTACTAAGGAATTCTATGTGTTAAGAGCTAAAAATGGCCTGAAATATGTTAAAGCACAGATACAGGCAYCTAAACATACAACAAAGGAAGGAATTTGCTTTCTACCTTTAGGTGTGGACCTCAAGGCTGAGCTTTGAGGTATTTTCCTTGAGGCTTGCCTCATGGAACGTGTGGAAGCCTCATATGCCTATTAAAATGTTGGCACTGATTAAAGGATGGCTATGACCAATTCGATTAGAACAGTATCCTGTATCTTATGTAGATGTATCAAGATTATAGCTTGATGTGCATTTTTTAGGTTTATATGCAATAATAAGCAATTCAGTAAGAGCAAAAATTTTGGCTAACCGTTGAGGGGACTTCCAAGTAGTCATAACCTGACTACTGTTCGGGATTGAAGTACCATGATGTTTAGTTTCTTGCTTAGAAGCCAAACACCTGAGTGCCTTGTTCAGGTTGGTTCTAAGCAAGGTTTAAAGTATCAATATGCAATGAATGGCAGTGCGTATTGTATCAGTATTAAAAGTTTTTTTTTATCAGTACAGTATCAAAAGTTACCAAAATGTGAAATAATGAGATTTAGGGGGTWTTGGATGTTTCAGATGGTAGAAGGCACCCTCAGAAGCCTGTCTCTCAATTACCAGGCTGAAAAATTTTATACATATATATATATATATAGACCAATAGATACACATGATATGCGATTTTTTGTTATCATGCATGTCAATATTTTAAAACTTGGTTCTACGAACAGTCAATACTCTTGCTAATAACCTGGATAGTACTGGGGTTTACAGGGGAAATGTATATGCCTGGGCCTTGGTCTGAACTGCTAATTGTTATCTTTGAATTGTAACTGRGGGATCAGCTTATCCTGTTTTCATTTTTTTGTACATTATTCAGTTGTTAATTCAATAAAAATCTTCTTATTACTGTTTCTTATCAAAATAAACAAATAAATATTCCTTTTTTTTGAAAGATACTAAATATCCCATTATTCA